TCATGGTTGACACGGTAACTCCGGAGATGACATGATTAAATAGTAAAGACGTATTTTAAAAAGTATTTTTAATATAGTTTTGTGCTTTAAAAGAATTTCCACATATATCTAAAGAAGAGACTCCAAGTACTTTTAAGAAAGTCAGTAAATCATCTAGATTTTCTATTTTGCCCAAAGTAAAGAAATCTTCGAATGGCCCAAAGAACATAGCTCTTTGTATCCCGAGATCAATACAAAGCTGTACTGTTGTATTGTTGGCGAGTTCAACGCGTCGTAAGACAGAAAGGTAACCCTCTAATACCTCTGGATGACCACAACGCCCCATCTTGTCAAATATGACAGTAAACCAAGCACGTTTGGCTCGAAGTGGTGAAAACCCCGTATGGGCAGAAAAGGGGACATTTATCATATTACCGCAAGCCATATGAGTTTTGTTCCTTTAATTAACAACTTGAAATAATCGTACTGTGTTTTACCTCCAAAGAATTCCGAATTTACAAATGGGCGGAAAAAAAAAAACTAGGAAAGAAATGTGTCTATTTCACTGACAGAGCAAACAGCGATCAGTCGTTCCATTTTTTTTTCCTAAGTCCGAAAAGCGGAAGAAACAAATCGTCCCCCGAAACATCATGCTATCAGTTTTCCGCCCCTTTTTGCGCTGGAAAGATAAGGAACATGTAATCTCAATGATTCGAGCATAGAGAAGGATTTGTAATGACACTACAAAGCGTTTTTGGATAGCACGCACTCCGTGCACGTGGCAGACGTTTGCAAGCTGGAGCAATTTTCATTGTGATTTTATTTTTAATTTTACGGCGAGTCACATTGACAGAGGCCCCTCAACCCTTCTAAAACTCCCAGAAGTGATTAACATTTAACTTCTCCCAGTTATATTCATACATTATCCAGTAAAAAGAGGTGATGAGAATACTCGAGCGGATCAGGTAGGAGTTGTCTTGGTCCAACACCAACTTCTCGTAACTAATTCACAAGGAGACGTGTAGCAGCTAGAGGGGAGAATTAGCAATCACATCATGGAAGTTAAAGGGTTAATATTGCCACATAAATCAGCACCGAAAGAATTTCAAATATCTAAAAATATTGGCTAAGAGGTTATCTCCATTTGCTGTGCAGAAGCCGTGTTTCCTCCTTAAGCTCCTTAAACCGCTCCTGTATCTTATCAGTGATGTGTTTTCTTGTCTCCATCTGAAATGAACGAAGAGAAATATTTTTAGCAATGAGCTTTTCCAATTTGCAAGAAAAAGATAACTCCAAAGTTAAAAAGTTCACTTTGCCCTAGTATCAACACACCTAAGAACAAGTCGCCAATGTCCACGGTCAACCCTCATTAATTATATAGCGTGTCATTGCAAATAAGGACGACGGCGAGTTAACCAAAGACGAAGGCGAGTCGACCAAAGCGTAGGCGAGTTGACACGTACACAATGTGACCGGGCACCCTCCATGGGGAAAATCAGAAACATGTCTTACCTTTCCCTCAGATCGACACCAGGGGATAATAAGGAAACGAACCATCCTTACTCTTCCAAGAGGTGTAATGCCGAAGCAGAACCCCAGACTCATTAGAACCTTAACTGGGACGAACAAACTTCTTTCCATTTGTCCCTCTACCCCTTGTAAATGTCATAACAAGAAAATTGGACCACAAGAAAAAATTTCAACATAGAGAGGATGTAATAGTGTAGTTTGATCGTCCGGGTCAGTGAAGTCCCGAGAAAGGACTGTTATCGTTTCGACAACCTGAGCGGAAGTCATTATCAGAATCAAGCCAATAGTTGTTGTCTATCGAATGTTCTTAGTCCGGTTTGTATAAACTGATTGGTTAGTTTTGCCGTGATGTTGGCTGTTAAAGACTATAAGTCTTACAGCCAATAACTCTGATGATGACTTCCGCTCAGGTTGTCAAAACGTCAGTCACCCCTACTAACAACAGTCCTTCTCAGGACTTCCCTCACCCGGACGATCAAACCACACTATTACATGTTACCCCATTTACTGTATAGAGAGGATGGTAGACTGTTTCCACAAAACTGGAGAGGGGTTTAAAATTTGCGGCTTGCCGTCCTTGGCAAGGATTGTAGAAAGCTTGTTGGTACCCCATGCATTACTTGGCGTCTAAAAAACTGATAATAATGATAACATCTCACTCGAAAACTTACCGCAGTTTTCTTGGCTTTTCGGTACTCTTCTACAGTCTCCGTGAACTCCATTGGTTCTCCTATGAGCACTGTGACTCTCTATTGTGAAAAATAAAATTTTGTAGGCTTAGCTACAATGTAACTACCGAAGGGTAAGCAATGAGAGCATATTTCGGCATGTTAAGCATGAAGAATCCAATCGCTACTCCGTTAAGAGGTGACATTCCATCGTTTGTAGCCACTATCCAAGCAAGTTTCCTTAATTATACTCTTGGGCGAAGGGTGGATGTGTAAGACTAGAGAGTCTTACCCAAGAATGCTACACAATCAGGGCTTAAACCTAAACTTCTTAACCATAGACTTTTCTATCAATAGTGCTCATTCTCAGATCCAGTGGTCTCTCGTGAGAAAACATTCCTTTAATCTTTATAGCCAGTCAATTAATTAATCAACCACACAGTTGTTCATTCAACTGGTTGGTTGGTCAGTTTGTAAGTCGGTGGGTCCATCAGTCAATTAATTAAATTAATTATCAACTCAATCATGACTTACTCTGTCAGTCAATACGTTGCTAAATAAGCAAATCCCAAAATCAGTTTGTCAGTCAATCAGTCTGTCAGTCAGCCAATGGGTCAGTCCATCAATTTGTCCCTCCTTGCCTCAGTGAGTCAGTCACTCAGTCAGCCGGCAAGTCAGTTTCTCAATCAGTCTGACGGTCACTAAGTCAGTCTGTCAGCCGGCAAGTCAGTTTCTCAATCAGTCTGACGGTCACTTAGTCAGTCTGTCAGTCAGCAAGTCAGTAGCTCAATCAGTCTGCCAGTCACTTAGTCAGTCTGTCAGCCAGCGACTAAGTTGGCCAGTCAGTCAGGCAGTTACACAGTCAGTCTGTCAGCCAGCAAATGAGTTAACCAATCAGTCAGGCAGTTTCTTGGTCAGTCTGTCAGCCATCCAGCAAGTCAGTCGCTCAATCAGTCAAGCAGTCACTCAGTTGGTCTGTCAGCCAGCAAATCAGTGAACCAATCAGTCAGGCAGTCGCTTATTCAGTCTGTCAGCCAGCAAATCAATACACCAATCAGTCAGGCAATCACTCTGTCAGCCATCAAGTCAGTTGGCCAGTCAGTCAGTTAGCTAATCAGTCAGGCAGTCACTCAGTCAGTCAAGCCATCAGTCAATCAATCAATCAATCAATTGATCAGTCAGGGTATCAGTCAGTCTGTCAGTCAGTCAGTCAGTCAGTCTACACCAAAATAGAAACCAACCTTCATTATTCTTGGAATGTAGGGACTATAATTAGGTAAAACATCATCCATTCCTACAAAAAGACAAGGAGTACTGTTAACACTGAAGGGTCCTTTGCAAATTAAAGTTATAAAGCCCAAGAGGTTCATACTCTACAAATTTTTATTAGTGTCTTGAAAAAAAAGAAAGAGAAAAGAAAAGAAAATGATACAAACAAGCAATTTTCTGAACATGAGTTTTTAAAAAATCAACAGTACTCTAGAGAAGTGCAGCATTCTAGCATTCCATATTTCTAAATTCTCAACTGACCTAAGTGAAAGGGTGCAATGTACAGAGCTGTTTCTTACAACAAAAACAGACAAGATAGTTGTGAATATTTTCACAACATAGCAGGTGGCACATTCTGCTAGTTGGTATAGCTGTGCACTGTAACATTTCACCCAATATAGGGGTATAGAGTCTTTGAAAAACTGAACCAGGGCAAAATGTTCAAGAGAATATACAAACCATCACCATCACCATGACTTTCAAAATAAGTTCCAAAGTTTTCAACATTTTACTTTACCTTCATGCCAGAATGGGACAACAATTGGTGTTACTTGTGCCTCTGCAATTAGCCGCCCAACACCTGACAGAATAAACTCTCATTACTGGAGTAAAAGATTTAGGAAAGAAAGCTGATAGAAAATGGGGTGAGAGAATGTTTCTCAGGGATCTAAAAAGCTGGATCAATATTTCCTAAGTAACTCAAGATGTTTGCAGACCACTCAATCCCAACACTATACAAATGTCTTATAGATACCTGCACCTACCCCATTTAAGTCTCTTGATAGAATCATTTATATTAACAGCACCTAAAATGAATGAAGGAATGAAGATATTACTCACAAGTTAAAAACAAGTATCACATTGAAACAACTCAGTCAGTAAAGGTCAACAACCTCTAAATGACAGTTTGAAGGAAAATCACTGACACTTGTTGACAATTCAGGCTTAAAACTTTGCTTCAAAGAAAAAAAGGAATGGATAGTAAATGGTGTGATAAATGGTGACTCTATCCCTTAACCCTTTAACTCCCAGATCTAATTTGTCATTCTCCTCACTGTCAACCATACAATTCTTATAATTTTAGTTCAGAGAATTTAGTACTGGATCAACAAATTATCCCCAAATTTGTGTTTTTCTTTATTCTCATCACTTATCTGTTTAATATTGTATTGATGTTGTAAGGAGAAATTCTGTCTTGGTCACTCAAGGAAGTTAAAGGGTTAAGCAATAATAGCAGCATACAAAATTGTTCTCCACACTGTTCTCCAAACACAAACACAACTAATGGTACTGCTGACATGAATTTGTCCAAAGAACTAACCCTCTTTTCCATAGTAGTAGTCTTACAGGCAGCTGAACACCACTGGTAACTGGCTTTTATCGAAACCCTTGTTTACATGCAAACCAACTTTTGTGTTTTAATTAATCTTTGATATCACAAGTTAGAAAAATTCAATTTTCTGATAACTCTACTAAGATTCCTAAATTGTAAGCTCTTTAGCATTAATTGGTTACCTTCAGGAAAAACATGAATCCATTCTCCTTTATTCAATTGTTCAATAGCAACATCCACTCCTTTCTGAAAAATACCATCACCTGATGGATAATAATACTTTAAGTTAGACCTCTGCACCTCATCTAGGCAGGTTAAATGACTGACAGAACTTTCTTGAATTTTGCCATACTACCCTGGAAACTCATCAGTACCATCAATCACTACCCAAGGTAGTATTTGGACTGTCACAAGTTTTGTCTGATACACCTTTAAATTCTAACCACTCAGATCAAACTTGGAAAGTTTGATCTTAAGTGCAAAGTATTTATAACATTGAACTAAATGCCCATAAAGAAAAGCAAACTTAATATGTGAAATTTTGAACAAACATCAAAGTGAAGGAATGGCTTACCTCTGATGACAGGAATTGCCTAGTAGTAGACAAAAATAAGTGAAAATAAATAAATAAAAATAACTTCTAGGTTAACAGACTGCTGATTGCGGGTTCAAGCCTCTGACTAGACTAACACCTAGAGTCATAAAAATAATTAAGGAGATTTATCACTCTTTACATGTACATTTGTTTCTAAAAGACACTATTGATGGTCTTATCAAAAAACAAAAAAAGTATGTAAGCTCTTCTCCTTTACCTACAATACCATGGGGTTTACAGGGAACACTAAAGAACCCACACACTAGTCACCAAGAGCCCCTGAGAGCTTTGTGTTCTGGTATTGTGATGTGGTCTTGGTCTATCAAACTGCTGAGCTCAGAGTGGAGAATATTTGATCAAACTAACAGATAAAGCCGCTACACAAATCCAACTTAGAGTGCATGAAGAGTATTTTGCTTCACACATGCTATCTGTTATACAGGTTTATATGCCTTCTTTTTGTCTACAAAGTAACAGATCTGGCCTCAAGCTATTAAATTCTATACATGTCATGTAGATGATAAGTGACTTAAGCCATTCACTTTCATCATTATACCTTTGCTCTGCTAAATAAGAAGGTACGGAAAGGAGTTGAAAATAGAAGTTCTTGAGCACCAAGAGTCCTGAGGAACACAAAGTGCTTCTGTCAGTAAACTACGCCTAAATACTGTTCAATACTAAGAAGATTATGTGGACAAAAGTGAAGTCATAACCATTTCTTGTTGCATAAAATCGCCAAGGAGTATGCTCTTCCCAATACATCACAATACATCGCTTTTCTTTAGTATCTATGACAGTTTTCTGCCATCAGATTATACTCCTGGCGGGTGGAGCCATTGTGAGAGTAAAGAGTCTCTCTCCAGAACACAACACAATCACAATGTTGGGGCTCCCACTTAAGCATGTTACAAGTTCACTGCAGTAACCATTAGGCAACTCTTGTCTCAAGTATATCAACTCTGGCAGACCCTAAGAAATTGAGATGTCAACTATTTGGAACACTCACCATCGAATCTGTTTGCTTGGGTTAAGAACACTTTTTAGTTGTAAAAGTCCTACATAAAGAAACATGAAAGTTAGGTGCAAGATCTTTTATAAATAGATTGCTCTTCTTACTTTCATCAAGGGGCATACTCTGTACAAATATATTTAGAGGGTATTACTTGGCTTATAAGAGATTCAACTACAAACCCTCAAATGGTGTGACTACTTACCCCACAAGCATGGATCATCAAGACAAGATGTATGGTTACACACTGTAACTAATGGAACCCCATCTGGCCTGTCTTTAGCATTCCTCTCCAAAACATCGAAATTGTACTTTCTAACTGAGTTAAACCATTCTATAAAAAAGGAAAAAACACGAGGCTGTCAAATCATCTGCAAACAAATATTAGTCTACAAAGTTTTAAATACACATTTATATAAATGGTATATTTTTCACGCCGAGAGTATATTACATGTACCTGTATCGTGCACGTTTTTGAAGAGAGCAATATGACAAGAAAGCTGCACATTTATGCATGACTTTCGATGGCCGAATAATCTAGAGGCTTCCCAATATTTATGTTTAGTTCACTTAAGCTTACTGTTCTGGTATAATTCTGAGTTCAGATTTCTATAAATCAATAGTGTTGGTCATTTCACATCTTTAAGACTTGTTGATTTTGATACGATGGATAAAATTCAATGAGTTTGACACTAACGAAACACCTAAGTCTTCTTTAAAGGCGACCGGACAACTCTCTGCCAACACTCACCTAGAAATATTTTACTTGAGAGACCGATCAAGCCAATAAGGAAAGTACTTTGTAATCTCCAGGATAGTTTGTCCATAACTGCCATCTGTAACGGCCATTTTAACGCCGATTTCATGATCACTAAGTATCAAATACACATGCGATACACCATGCAGCACACGACGTAAAATGTGCAATAATTTACACGACGTAAATAACAAGTACTAAGCAATCCACTGGAGTTACTGTTGCGGGCTCAAGGTTTTCCATTTACAAAATTTTAGGAGGGAGGGGTAAGTGGGGAAATTCACGGAGAGCTTGCAGTTATTTCATTTACGATGAATTTCAATAATCACCGAAAAAGAAAAAGCGTTGCACAATCGATGTGAATAGTTTTTTTTTCTTTTTCTTCTTCTTTCAACAAAAAACAATCTATGTATGCTTTACCTATTTTTCTTCTACTGTAAATTATCCAATTCAAATTTGGAAAGGTAAACTAAGGAAGGAACTCCTGGATTCCACTTTAAATCCCAACCTTGATAGAAATAGGTATAATGAGGTACAGTGAGACCAGGCAAAGTGTCTACACACAGTATCAAAGGCTAGTAACAACTAGTTGCAAAAGTTGAGACATGTAGCTTACAAGAGAAAATTGATCACCTTGCCATGTAACATAATCTCTACATGTAACCCCTACCCCATGAAACCCTGCCTTTGAAATAATCCTGGCTACTTACGCAGTATCATGTACAAGAATTAGATGAACAACTTTGAATCAGGGAAGGGGGACCATTTTTTTTTTTTTTTTTTTTGCAAAAAATTTCTTGTGTCATCCTAGGAAGTCCAAAAACACATTTTGTACACGGTGTCTCAACATTTTTACAATCAGTTGTACAGATAAATTCTGCTTGAAGAAAGGATCAAGGGCTTTCATGAAATGAATTGACAGGCTAGGATAAGTGTCAAGGATAGTGTCAAGTTCTGTAATAGGAGAAAAAAAAGACAGCCAAGGTCAACAAATTATGGCTGAATAATTCTGTGCCCATTTTTTGATACCCTATGACACCTCAATCCTTTAGCCCCTAAGGGCGACTAGCTTCTAATTTCTTCTTACAGTATCACCCCTGAATCACATATGAAGGTCATGAGAATAAAGAAAATGATCACCAGCCAAAGAAGTTCTTGATTGTTAAACAAATTCTCCTTGTCAGCACCTTAGGAAATGTAGAGAGAACAGTATGGAGAATAAGCAAATTGATGTTAGGGTGGAAAGGATGAAGTGTCCTTTTGAAAAATGTCATTCAAGGTTACAGGACAGCACCAACAGCAGCAAAGTTTGCTTTCATCTCACATCAGTATTGGCAGTCAGCTCTTCCTCTTCAGCGAGAATTCAAACTAGTTAACTAACACACAAAGTCATCAATTCAAAGCATATATCACATTTCTTATTTTTAATTTCAGACTTTTAACTCCAGATTAATTCCAAAAATTAGAATTGCCAGTTGGCAATAAATCATAGACCAGTTTCAAAATTCAATATGGTTGGTCACTTGGCCAATAAATAGTGACAATGCAACGTCACCATACCCAAATGGAACAAACATGGGGCAGGAAAAGTCAGTTCAGATTCAAAGTTGTGGTTGCATCAATAGAATGAGTCCATACATATCTTGCATTTCAATAAAAAATTTTTCTACATGGTTTTTTTAGCATTCCTTAGCAAGTCCTTCCACAAAACCTAACAGTATATATTTTTGGAAATTAAAAATTAGCAGTGACCTAACAGATATATGTCAGACTTAGCATCTCCAAAACCATTTCATTTTAAATTTCTTTAGGAAAGGAATCTTGACACATGCCCCTAAGAATGAATGTGAAGTGCAAGAGCAATGCAGAGCCCCACCCTCTGGTGTCCCATTTGGCTCTTACTCTGCTTACATTCTAGATGGTGATCCAAAAGAATATGGAGAGCCCATAAACAAGCATTTTCAAGAGGGAAACCAAGTGGTAATTATATGTTTCTATCACAACATGAAACAGTTTGACTGTTTAAAACTCAATTCCTAAATTTGTTACCTCTGTATAAAATACAATGATGCAAAAGTTTTAGGATGCATCTTTCCTTGCACATATTCCTACTCCCTAACAACTACCAATAAATCGAGTGGATGAAAATGCAACAAAAATGATGGATATTTCATGTCTATAGAGATTTTTAGAGGAATAAAATTGAATATATTTAAAGTTTATTGCCTATTTAGCAACTATCATTAACTATTTAGCAACTATCATTAAAATTCTGTTTACAATATTCAGTGGCATTGGTGACAATGTCGTTCCAACTTAGAGACTAATAACAATTTTACCATCATTACTAACACACAACCTCTTACATCTAACATCAGGGTTCCAAGCTCTACTTTTCCTGATAGTTACTATTTGAAAACTTTAACTTACAAAGTGGCCTCCAGAAATAAGAGTTTAGGCAGGGAGAGTAATGAATGGCAAAGGACAATTGGTGCAATATCACATGAATTACCTGTACCTAACCCTTTAACTCCCAAGATCTCATTAATAATTCTCCTTACTGTCTGCCATACAATTCACATAATGTTAGTTTGGAGAATTTGGAATTGGATCAACCCACAATCCCCTGACTGATATTTTCCTTTATTCCCATCACTTGTCTGATTGATATTTTATTGATATTGTAAGGAGAAATTATGTCTTGGTCACTCATGGGAGTTAAAGGGTAAATACAACTGACCAGATTGCTTTTCTTTGAAATAATCAAGACCACTGGCAATTTCACTGGCAATCAATTTAGGATGTGCACTCATATCACCTGAATCACCTGCCAAATTGGCCACTTGTACAAAAAGTTTACTTCCCAAGATTACTTTTTCCTGCTATAGCCACCAAAACTGTTAGAACTTTGAGTGCAAAATATAATTTTCCAAATTTCCTAGCTGAAAGAAATCAGGTTTGACAATGATTTCTGCACTAATATCACAACCCCTAAACAATATGCTGTGATGTCATAATTCTCCTGATGAGCTATTTCTGAAACCAAAGAGGTTCTTTAGCCAGGACCAGAGCCATGATAGTCCATTCATAACTGTTTGCAGGAAGCTAACTCCTTCTCCATGAAAAAGGTTTCCTTCACTGTCCAACACTTCTTCACTCTCATCATTTTCTTTTCTGTGATCACCAAGCTGGTCCCTCATCTTTTCTATGTCCTCCCTGGAGTACATCTCCATGCCTGGCATTCCAGGCATTCCCCTGAGGAAAAAAAGAAGGAATAGAAAAATATTGTTTATGTTTGCAAAAATAAATATGTTTTGGGCCTGAGTCAGGGTAGCTTTTATTTTGGGCTGCTAGGCAAGGGTTTAAATAATTATGACAAGGGTTCAAAACCTATTTCTGCCTAAACTTTATTACTACTGCCAACACTGGAGGACATTAGGAAAATATAAACTGGAAAAGGGACTACAAAACAGTCTGAACAATCATGCAAGTGTGAGAGGGAGCTGAAATACCACAATCTCTATTTAAGCCCGTAAAACGTGCCAAAATGCCTGACAAAGTGATAATACTTTATCTTTTATATTTCTACAAAATCCATTCAATTATTTATTAATTGAACAAGTTGGGGTTGGAAATCTGCTGTTTCTCTGATTTTCTTTTCCTTTATCTACCAGTGACAACTTTTTAAATAAACCAGTGAGTTTTTTCACATTCCCAGACTGCTGAAATATCTCCGCCTATAATAACACCCTAAAAGATAGCTAATAATCAATAATTGTTGGCACAACACTCTTATAAAAAATCCTTAAAACTCCTTACCTCATTTGTTTTAGAACTTCATCTGCTTTCTTTTCATCTTCAGTCATCACATGAAACTCTTCATCAACTTTTCTTTCTCCAGCCTTCAGCTTTGGTTTCTTTCCTTTGCATACATTTGACATGGAGTAGCAAACTTCATTGATCAGTCTAGATAAAGTTAATTTGTCTTTCCATAGCAATTCTGCCAGATCTGTGTCGACATCTCCAACAGACTCCTCACAAGCCTTTGAAACAGTCTGACATTCTCTTTTGCATTTTCCAACATCAGTTTGCTCAGAAAGTCTTAACTCTCCATCCTTTTCCACAAGGTCTATTTTTGAAATCCAACTTCCCTCCTCTTTCTCTGGATTGCAGGATTTCTCCACAAGCTCAATTACTTTATCTTCTTCAAGCTATCAATCAAAAAAATTAATTTTAAATACAGTGACACCTGTATCAAGCAGTAAACCAACGAAAATTACTGGTGTCTCTTTTGTACAAGGCGCCTGCAGGATACTAATGATTAGGTGGATTGCTTAAACTTACCAGTGATTAATTCTTAACACCAAACATGGCAGAGAGATTTGTGGCCAAACCGTGAGACATGACCAGTTTTGGTACATAGAGTAACACATAACATGCTAGATAATAAGTTATCAGAAATATAAAGAAATGTAATCTTCAGAAGTGATTCAGTCAGCAAAATGAACCTAAAATTTCTTGTCAAGCTATACAGGAATACAAGCTCATTGAGATAATGTCTGCTGAATGTCTTCTTACAACTGGGTGTTCTCTAAATATTAGTGAAATCCAGGGGGGTACCCAGGAATAAAAGTGACCCAGATGCAAACAATCAAAATTCAGAGTAACAGGTACATCAAAGGATCAACTGAGTTTGAAATATGCAATTTTGGGATTTTTTTTTTGGGTCAGAGGACATTCTTCTTTTTTTTGGCAAAAAGGGATAAAAACCAAATGGAAGTTTTTAAAGCAAAGGATTCATTTTTTTTAACTAATGTTTACTAATTGAAAAATGGTAACATTAGAAAAAAATAAATCAGCTACCAGACATTACTCAGAAGACTAAAAAAGCAATGCCTAAAATTCAAATATGTTCTCGCTGAACTAAAATCTTAATCTCCTTGTCTTTCTGTCAAACATAGTCATCACAAATTTTTCAACTTCAACAGTTAGCCTTATCTCTTCCTATTCATTAGTTTTAAGGAAGACAAGTTTTTCTAATTTCAAACTTTATGATGATCAAGCTGACACTGACAAAAATAAAAAAAATGTAAACCACCTTTAGTTAGTAAATTTTCCAAGGCATCAAATGCAACACCACAATGTTAAACTTCATTCATAAATTTGAGAATCAATTCATACAGAGGATGGAAAACCCTGTTGAATCTCTGGATTTTTCATTTTTCCTTTCCCTTTTCATGACACCCTACTAATCTAGAATAAACACAATAACAAAGACTGATAGCGTTCACTTATAAATATTTTATACCTCTTGTCTGAAAATTTCTTCAATTTGAAATTTTCAATAACAGACATCTGTCAAAAAAATTAATTAATAAATATATTTTAAAAAGTATTTCAGTAAAAAATAAAGTGTAAAAAAAACAGTTACTTAAAGTTGTACATACTCATCCACTAAAAAAATTCCAGAGCTGAACCAAAACAAATAAAATACAATTGGCTGGGTCTTGATCAGTATAGATATCTTAAAAAATAAGACAATATCTCACAGATCTTGTGAATTTCAACGCTTGCTAAAAAAAAAAAACAAAAACAAAAACAAAACAGAACAGACATTTCTTAAGTTATTTTCAATCAACCCTTCTATCTGTTAAAAGAAGTTAGATGATCTCAAATATCTTTTTCCAGGATATTTTCTTAATAGACATCTAACATTGTTAACATCACTTTTGAACAACAGAAGAGGGAGATAATTTACATGTATTTTAAGGATCCAGGTACTCAAACTGAGGAAGGAAAATATAACAGGCTCTTTGGCCCTAATTCTAGTTAGTTCATAAATAAATTCATCATTCCTTCATCTAACTGGGTCACTTCTTAGAAGACTTCAAACATATCAATGGACTACATCTGGATTTGTTAAATCATTCATGAAGAAATTATTTGAACCAAACAGAAATAATCAAATAACAGAACTGATGGAATTATTAATAAACTCAACGACTCCCTGCTGCACACAATGACAACAAAGTTCATTTTCATTATGTCTGTGAAAAGCAGTATTGACTCAGAAATAAAAAAATGTAATACATTACAGCTATTGAAACTTTTTTTTCTCAAATTCAAGAAAATAGTTCTCAAGTTTATGTGAAAACAAAATTTGGCTAAACTGCAGAACACCCTGCCATTCATTTACATGTCATTGATTAAGAATAGCGTCTATTGTATATGCTTCGATCTTCATAGCCTCCCGACACATGTAAATGAGGTGGACCAAAGAGGCTTGGTATTCTGCAGTTACTCGTATTCTGCAGTTACTCCAAAAGTTTTATGTAAAAAAGGTTTAACAAAGAATATCCACCCTGAGCTGGGTATGGAATAATGGGCATGAATTTGACTAAAAAATGAGAGTGTCAGTGTGGAAATGCAAATAAACTGGTGTGAATTTTAAATGTTTAAATGCACAACGTTGGCATAAAATATGTCTATGTATCGGTCATTAGCGGAAAAGAAATGCTTCTGCGGCTCACGATTCCATCATAATTTTCTTTTTCAAAAGTGCACCGGCAGTAAGACAAAAAAAATTGGCGCAAATATAATGTCAGACATACCCTTTTCGGTTTTGATGTCCCCTCAGCTGTCCGCATATCATGGGTTTTGCCATATAAATACTTAACCGCCTTTTGACATGTTTCACATTTGATGTGAGGAATATCCTCCTTAATAGCGTAGTATTTTTCTTTCTTTGGTAACTGACTGTATAGCGTAGAAATACATAATGATAATGTGAGAAAAATTAAGTGCAAACTGTGGGCCATTATCAACAAGTCTATGACCGTGACAGACTGGGATAGGATTGGGGTAGAAGCTTCACGTGTCAATAGTAAGCCAATCAGAATCACCAAAAGAAACGTACCCACAACGTTGTAATCCTAAAAGAAATCGATGTTCTTCACGAAGTGTACATTGGAAAAGTTTAGTTCTTTCACCTTACTTGGACGCCAAACTCAAACGTAAGTCACATTGATTTACTCAGTGATATTATAAACCTATTGACCAATAAGAAGAATTTCGAGAATGTCTAATTCGCCTCTACAAAATGCAGGATTCGAGACATTCTCAAACATCGCAGCGTTCGAAGATCCTGACTTCGAAGACGACTTTTTTGGCGGAATTCCGAGTTTCACTCAAGATATTTGGACCAACTCAAAGTGCAAAGGGATGGAAAACGATGACGATCTTCCCCTCACGAAGTATCTTTTGCAGTTCAACGATGATGAAGGATGGAATTCTGAGGAAGAACAAAGTATGGAAGGAGATAGTTTTGAATGCGAACGTGGAGGCTTCGGATGGGATATTGATCCTATTGACTTAGATGCTAATGCATTTGAGGATTCAGGGCTCACTCAGGATACACCCGATAAACCTAAGCAGGGAAAAGAAGAGGTGGTGGTAAAGGAAAGGAACTCTGTCGGGAAGTCGACTAAGATGAAGAAATCTGATCATAAAGAAGGAAAATGTAACTATGACCTCGACGAGAACGAGAGTTTAAAGAAAAGGAATCCAGGTAAAAACACTGTAAAATTTCATTCTGTTCAGAGCAAAGAAATATCAACCAAGGCCGTGGCACAATGTAAAGAAGTTTTCAAGAAAAGCACCAATTCGACAGCGGAGAAACAAAAACCCCTGAGCACCTCTAAAACTCAGGCTGAGAAAGCAAAACAACAGCGGGAAAGGAAGAAAAAGTACATTCAGGAACTGGAGGATACCATAGAAACTCTTAAAAGAGACAAGGCAATGCTAAAGCAGGCCAGCACTCAGCTTCATGATAAAATAGAGGGTCTCCAGGATGAAATCCGTTACTTAAAAGGCGTGATACAAAACCAAAGTGAATTGGCAACAATTTTGAGGAGCGTTGCCAACACTCCTGGTATTTCAATCAGCTGTGGTGTCTTGCAGGACAGTGAAGGTAGTGATGGTAAGGCAAACAAAAGAAAATATAATGATCATGCGGAAGATTCTGGTGAGAAAGATTGCAATATGCATCACAAAAGGAACAAGAGAAAAATAGAAGAAAGCTCAGGTGACAAAATCAGTTCAACTGATGCAGGGGTTTGTGTTCATGTCCAAAGTGGTAAAGTATCACTTGAGTTCTGTGCAGAATGCAGCAAGAAAGCCAATGGTGCAATAAACTGAGGTGAAACAGGTCAAAGGAATTCAATGCATATAGCATACATGAAATTGTAGACACTGACACAGTTTTTACTTGAAAATTGGTAGATGAGTTGAATTTAAAGAAGTCTGGACCCACTCTAATTTTAACCCATTAGGCTATCATGAGGTCATTTGTTAGAGCATGGTGAGGCATCAATGATACTAGCACAAGGGTTGTGCGAGTAAATTATAGATCAAAGAAAAGTTGCCTAAACTAGAGGCATTCAATGTATCAGGTAAAACCTTCTTCTCACAATAACACTACATATTTCCTTTATGTATAAGAACTGTCGACTTTCATTCTGTCAGATATGAGCACTAACAATAAGAGAAATCTCCTTCAGTTTCATTTCTTTGCAGGTTTCAACATTCTCTCCAGGACTTTGATGTTGATAATACTAGGTTAGTATTGTGATACTGATGTTTGAACTAAAACCCATAGAGTATCTTAAGATACCTAAGCTTTCAATTTTTACCAACAAATTTATGCGAATGACTCAAAACAAAAGAGTGTCATGGCAGGCAATTTTCATAAGCAATATAAATTAATTTTTCATATTTCAGTTTTGAGAATGGAAAATTTATTTTTCCTAGTTATCACAGACTACCTAATTTTCTTAAATTAATGTTCAAGTTTTGTTTGTTTTACAAATTATTACGTTGTTTCTCATTTTTGGAAAAACACAACATCTTCACCTGGGGTTCTCAACATACCATTTATATCTTCACATGAGATTATAACAATGTCATCATGGTAACTGGGTGAAGTACAATAGCTGCTACACTTCTCTTGAAGGGATTTTTTAAATCAACATCGCCGTGGGTTGAAATCAACCTTATCTTTGGCGAGAAATGAAGTAATTTTACAAGAGAAGTTGTTTTATGACAGAAATTGAAGTAGATTTTTGTTGAAAATGTATGGTTAGATATGTACATATGATTTGTATTGGTGTAATAAACAGAACATTTCATTTCTGCTTGTGGAAGAAATGGTGCGGCTTATATGGCCAATAATCAATACCCAAAATTAAACTTCGCAGCCACAAGCAGTCATGTAATATTTTATATATCTTAAATCTAACTTTTTTCTTAAAAATTTTTTGATTAGTGCTGGATGAATGCACTGTAGAGGATACTTGCCACTCCTTGCACCCACTGGAGTCAAGTGTCTTTGTTTGGGGTGTGAGTTAAGTGTAAGTAAAGTCCCTCAAGGTTTAGTAAGTATTTTCATTTGAGGGACACAGGTAAAAGTTGTATTAGTTTCAAAATATTACTGTTAAGTATTTCTCGTTTCTTGTTGTATTTGTGTACATGGAGTTCTGTATGTTCTGAATTAGGTACATGTGGGAATGTAAACAGTTTTGAATACCAAGTTTTAAAGGCGACTTGCATTGTCCTGTCAATCAGGTGTTTACTACGGTTGAAGCAAACAGCAAAACCCTGCACAACAGGTAGAACTCGCTAAATCTCTGTGTGCATTATATAAATGACTTTCGTTTTTGTAGCATTACCACAGGGGTTTAAAAAAGGAAGGAATATCACCAAGAGGGTGATAAAAGGGTTTGATCTGGCAGTAAAATTTTGGAATTCATTTTGAAAAAGTTGAATCTACACCTGTTCAAATGTAAAGAAAATAGTTATTTAGTTTTTTCAAGCCATTTTGTTTTTTATTTAGCCAAAGGTACCTGTTTATTTTTGGTTGGAGGACCTGATTGACATGTCATTTTTTTCTGCCTTAAAACAAGGACATAAATATATGAAATTTAAAATTCTTGACTGAAGGAGATAAAAATTGACTCTAATGAGACCTTTTGCATATGTTTTTTGATTATTACTGCATGTACCTGTGTGTGTATTTTGTACTTATCAGTTACTGTAAGCTGAGAACAGAGATGATACTACTCTGGATTAGCCACGGGCTGTCAAACTAGTGATACTTGGAAATAAAAAGAACTGGTTAGATACTGTTGTTGTGGCTTTTATTTATTAATTTTTTTTTTTACTATTGTGTATGTTTTTTTTCCTGTATGTCTTGATGGATCAACATATCTTAACTCTTTAACTCCCAGACCAAATTTGTAATTCTCCTTACTGCCAACCATACAATTCTTATATTGTTAGTTCAGAGAATTTAGTATTGGATCAACTAATTGTCCCGAAATTAAAAGTTTTCTTTATTCTCATCACTTGTCTGGTTGATATTGCACTGATATTGTAATGAGAAATTCTGTCTTGGTCACTCATGGGAGTTAAGGGGTTAAGTAGGCAGGAAATGGTGATACTATAATTCTAATAATGATTATTCATATGGGTTGTTTGCATTCAGATCATGAGTAAAAAGGGTCAAAAAAGGATTTTATTTCAAAGGACCTTGATAATAAAGGGGTGCCTACACATTTGTCATTTTGTTAACTGAGAAGGCTCAAGGCAGAAATAGCTTAGCTTTTTTGGGCAGTATTATAAAGGTGCTCAAAATTGCTTAACTTTGCTTGTGGCCTTTGTCCAGAAAGTAGGCAAGTTTGGCTCTTTATGAAAACTCATGAGAAGAAAGTTCTTCATTGTGATTGAACAATTCTGTAGAGTTTCAGTTTTATTTGAGAAACAAGGTTTTTCATTGTACTTGCATTAGAATGGCACAATTTCCATCAAATGCCTCCATACTACAAATAGTTTGCTGAAATCTGTTTCCAGAAACTCAGTGGTTCAGGTGGTGAGGGTATAGCTACAATTACACGTTGCCTTGCTAAATAATGTTTAAGTCCTAGGTGAACTTGATTTTTAGTATTTTATTACATTTTGTGTGAAAAAACATGCCTATTACAAACAATGGAATGAAAAATATCAAATAAAACTTTCTTGTTATAAGTTAGTTGTGTAAATTATTTCAGTCACTCCAGACATTGCCATTAGATACTGTTTTTTAATAGAGGAACAGCTAGTCACCAACATTTTAACTGTTTTCAAGTACAGGTAAATCAGCTTAGGCCTCAGTGTAGCTTGAAGAGCCTGTTTGTGAGATGCATGTCATCTACATATCTGTAAGAAAAAATAATAATGTTACTTCCAACTACACTGCAAGCCATTTTCCCCCTCAAGTCCTCTAAGGGCTGTGGAACAGTTCACACAAAGACTTGGTTCTGATTCCAGAGTCTTTATGAGCTGAACCAGGTGCACATTACTGGCTGATTTTATTACCTTGAAGAAGTATGGAGAAGGTACTTTTAAGGATCTTATCAGAATCAGTTGAGAAGGAACACTTCAGTTTGGAGCAGTTTAGCTGTTCTTCCTGCTAGTATGGACTAGGATCAACAATACCATGTGCCAAACAAAGGGCGTGTGTTACAACATATTGAAGCTATTTTCTGTGAACAGGCACATTTTCTTTTCTTTATTTGGGACAGTCCAAATTCCAATTAAGTGCAGCTCACGAAAAGTGTGATGTTTGTACAAAGCCTGAAAATAACTTGCCCTCATGACAAAATTTAAAATGTGCTTCAAAGTTGTGAAACACCAGAAAGCCACAACACATGCAACTGTTGTTTTCAGTTGATGCTTTTGTGTTACCTCTTACTCATCCCTTTCCACTATCTGCCCACTCAAGAACTTATCATTCGAAACAGTAAAATTAACTTTTTTTGGTCCGGACTTAAGACCCCGTCTCATCCCCTAAGAGGTGCAAGTCCCAATCCCTCGTCTGTGGTTGTCAGTCAAGCTAAGGAATTACCAAGCTATCAAATTTATAATTAAGCATTTAAAATCGATCCACAGCTCTATCCGTCCAGCTTGAAGTAGTATATTTCAGTAAGAGGGGTAAAGAAACAAGGCATTATGAACTAGGGAACTTTTTAAGTAAGGACTTGCTCAAAACTGGGCGATAAATGAAAGGCTTGTGCATGCAAGCGCACCACGGCCTTGTTAATATGCACCGCTGTTTCGACGAATGCTTACAGCTTTTGTTAAACTTCGGAATTTCTAGAACCCAAACGCTTTTTGTGCAAATCAAATCCATACTCAGGGTTAGTTTCACTCGTTAACGCAGTATTCATGTCCTGTATTTAGATTTAACAATGACCACCTAAGTTGTAATTACTTGAGAACTTGACAAACGCCAGACGTAAACAAAGCCTCGTTCATTTCGTTTACTTTCGCAATTAGCCCGTTCTTTTTTTACTCCATCGAACAGTAAGCGATAACAATGTGTTAGATATCACTAAGAGCACTTAACAATTAAGTATTATTTTAGAGTAAAATGGATGCAGGACCTACCGTGTCATAGGGCTGTTTATATGTGGAAATCGCTGTTGATTTTTTGGGTGAAACCTCGGCGCAAGAGGTAAGCCAGTTCCCCATCGTGGAGAGATAACTCGATCTGGAACGCCTTTAGAAGGAAACATCTGTCTCAGTGTGGACCACTCTTCACATCTAGTTGCTTGAGTAGAAGGGTACCACTTTCCTTCTTCAAGATGCCGTGAAAAAGTCTTCAACGAAGGTTGTGTTTCGCGTTTCCAATGATTGTCGACAGCCATGTCTGGAGGTCCGCAGATAAATTTTGACCGCTGAACAGGAGCGTTACTTCTTAGGTCCAGAGGATCGTGTCTTTTGTTTACCCACACAACATCGTTTCTTTCTGGTTGTATTATAGCGGAATTTTTGTACCCATAGAGCAACCCACCAATTGATTCTGCAGCCATTTCTGAAATTCCTAGGTCCTGTCGACTTCAAGACTTTCCTGTTGCTAGGCAACGCTCAGCTGGCACTCGGAACCGGAAATTCCAGAACAAATGTCCTGAATAGTCTCTTGCTCAGTCTCTTACGGCAAAGGGCGCCTTTCCGTTTTCTGTGGTGTCAGGATTTCGCGAACGACCTCGTTCACTGATAAAAAAGTGCACGAAGTTAAAGACGCGCTGATTATTCTTCTAATGGGGCTCAGGTAAGTTTAAACCCGTTGGACTGGCTCTTTTCGATTTCATTTCGTTTCCTTCATTCTTAGCCCAATCCTTCGCTCCTTCTTCCAGCCTTTTGGTCTTTCAAGAATTTTTGATCGTATGTATTGACTGAGGCTACGAATTATTGGAAGAAAATTTTCCCTATGAAATTTTGCAAATTTCGTAAACAACCGAAAAACTATTGAAATAGTTTGAATTTGATCAAATACCAGTCTGAGAGGCGATTGGACGAGAACAGTTGAATGGCACTTAAGGCCACGTGGTCGTCTCAAATGATTGACTTTCGGCTCTTCGTGTTTATCTTAGCATTATCGCTTTCGTCTGCATGTGACTTTTGCATGTTAGTTTACATTTTCTTACTCTTTGTGTCAGCAAGAAAGACATCGTCACCTTAAAATGTGGCCAGAGATCTTTGTCACGACAATTTTCGTGTTTGGTGTCGTTCTATCGTCCACGCAGAAGAGATCAGTTCCTGTTAATCAGTGGAAAGCAGGCAAAGAGTTTGAAGGTTAGATTTCTGAATGTTGAGCGCAGAGTGCGAGGAATAATTTTAGAATGCAACGTATTAGCTCACTCCAATTTAAAAACAGAGAAATTTGACACCACCTCAACCACTAACAAATCTGATGTTCTAAGTCGAGATAAATCGCTCTCTAAAGCACGAAAATCTAATGAATTTTTCATTCGGAATAATTTATCTTTGCAAACCAGTGTCAATATCAGTCGTTGTACATTTTGATATTCCAGAAAGCGAAAGGTCACTGAAGGAGCGATGTCGATTTCACAATTATGCCTAAAATGCTTCAGTACTCAGTTAGAAATTTTCATGCTGCGTTTGATAAACGCTAAAACTGGCTTAACAGCTCTCTCAAAATGTTTGGATGCTAAGAATAAAATATTCTAAGCGTGAACCCACTGAAGTGAGACAGTTCATTGACTTTGACAAGCAAACTGGAAAACGATAAAAACTAATGGGTGACGTTTTGATAAAATATAGACATTACTTTTTTAGTTTGTATGATAGTCTCTTATAGGTGAACTTTGTTTTATTTTTCTGAGCTGTAACAAAGGTTCAATACGCGTCCACCTTTTTGGCAAGGTTTGCAAGGGGAATTATGTTGTTTTGGGGGTATTAATTTAATTATCTTGAAAACACAATCACTTTTGTTCTACTGTAATTGTAACGTGGTATTTTTTAATATTCCGCCTTACGAAAACAATCGGACGGAACAATGTGGTGTAAAAATTCTGCTCTCAAGCAACATGAAGGATTAGACAGGGAGCGCTTAAAAAATCATCAATTCACGTTTAGAGCTTTTACTAAAGATTAAACTGCAGATTACTTTAGTTTAATAGGCAGACAACATCGTAGACAGGTAATTTAGTGTTAACAACTGGGTTGAAAACGTAAATTAGCCACCGTAAAGGGTAAAAAAGCTGAAGTTTCGAGCGTTAGCCCTTCGTCAGAGCGATTGATCGTAGACATCTCCCACTATAAATGAGCCTCAATCTTTCTGCACGTTAGCAGCCCATGCACGCTTACCATGAAAATTTTGTCGAGAGAGATAGTTGACATATAGGTTTTGTATGAACTGAAAGAAAATTAAAAGAAAACATCCGTCGCCGGGAGGCAATAACATAGTTGGTGACCTTTTTCAAATATCAGGATTGGGGAACAATATACAGGTAACGGGTAATAGACGAACAGTTTTCTTCTTTGTAAAAGGCAAGAACTGTTTCAATTGTTTCAATTGCAATCTGATTTTCTCGAAATTTCCATGAGTAATGTTCTGGAATTACCTCTGTCAAGTGTCCGTGATGCATATTTACTAACCATTTAAGGAGATCTTTGACACGTTGAGGCTTGGAGCGTCCATTTAACGCCAAAATGACTTGGTAGGCACCACATGCGGTCTTAAGAAAGTATGTGTCAGAAAATGTGCGGCGGTAAACATGATTTTATCGTTGCTAAAAGAGTACGTGTGAAAATATACGTCTTTCTGCAGTTTGCAATTTTGGTGAAGGAACCTAACAGTTCGAAAACTGTTTTCTTTTTTTCTTTCAATTAGTTCGACTGTCGCGTGGGTTCGCTCCTTACGCTGGTCAGGTGGTCATTTTCCATCAAGGGGTCTGGAGCACAGTTTGCGACGACGCCTGGGACGAGAGCGATGCTTTCGTTGTATGCCGAGAGTTAGGTTATCCTAACGTTACCTTGGTAACAAGACGATCTTTCTTTGGTCAAGCGGGGACGATAAATTTTGAAAAGGTTCGTTGTTATGGAAACGAGACAAGACTGGGTCAGTGTTACCACAAAACCTCGACACCACAGTCAAACTGTAAAACTGGATGGAAAAGGGAAGCAGGAGTGATATGCGAGCCCGCTAAGAATGCGGATCCCAGAGGTAGTTTGATTTTTGATCACAGAATTAACTTTCATAGGAATACGGCATTTTAATTGAATGTCGTGAGACCATTTCAAGGTATTGACAAGGGTTAATCAGAACAGTGACAATATAGAGAGGCCTATGAGAACTAGAAAGGAACAAAAATAACAAGCGGGCTGTTCCCGTTATTTAAAGGAGATCTCAAGTGTCCTTCTCGCGATCGGTTTCAAGTTTGTGTCTACGAATAATTGATTGGGTGGCTTAGGAGATTTCAGAGAGGTATATAAAAATAAATGGAAACTCAAATCACTCTTAAGCTCAATTGAAAATTGTCCTTTCAATACCATGTGATGTTTCTACTGTAATTAAGTTGTTAAGTTTATTGTAGAAGGTGCAATACCGTGATCCAAAGAGGGAATCTGTTTTTTTTTCTTGTGAGATCTCCCTAGAGTCCGCCTGTCAAATCTAACCAACTCGGAGGGCTCAGGACTAGTGGAGGTGTTCATGCATGGTCAGTGGGGAAGAGTGTGCGATTACTCTTGGGATTTTGATGATGCCTCAGTCGTCTGTCGTCAGCTTGGGTATCCTGGTGCGGAACATTCCACCTGCTGTGGCATGTACTTCGGGAAGGGTACAGGACCTCCTCTTATGGCTCGTGTGGACTGTTCAGGAACAGAAGCATCGATATTCCATTGCAGTCACGTGGGGAAGGACGATGCAAGGTGCTCTAGACGTTCCAGTGCTGGAGTTGTATGTAAACTGAATAAACCAAATGGTGAGTACTAGTCATTTAATTAACAATGAAACAAAATAAGACAAGAGAGGGATCTAGGAAGTGTTAATCTATTAACCCTTCCTCAAGATTTTCCTTCAATGCTGGCAATCAAGAGAGGATGAAGGTTCACGCTCTCATGCTGTTAGACATTTCTTGGTCGCTCTAGGGAGCGATAATTTTAATTAAAGTCACGTGGTGTAAGCCTAATGTTTCGTAGCTCTTGCGACTCACCCGGGTCTAAAGTATACTGTAAGAAAAGAGAGAGTAATGGGACACATAATACTCAAGTCCCAGAAAACCAAAGTCTGCTCAGGGGTGCACAGCTGATGAGGCCAATATTTAAGGTCATTTATTCATCACATCACGGGTTTATTTGGAGCCAATATAATTGGTAGAGTGCTACACCGGTATCGCAGAGGTCATGGGTTCAAATCACGCATAGGCCTAATTTTTTTTAGGCCTTATTTGCACTACTGTTTAGGTAGTGTTCATTACTGCAAAGATCGGTTCCATTCTTCGGTTCGATTCACTTCTATTTACTCTCCTCTGAAGCTTGCTGTTCGTCCGTTTCTACCTGCTATTATTTATAGGTTTCATATAAAGCCCTTAGTTGTACTCCTCAACCAAAGGTCCTGGAATTACTTTAATTTCTTTTCCCTTTTACATTGTCAGTTCGCCTGGTTGGTTCTCATCTTGCACATGCGGGTTTTGCGCAAATTCGTCACAATGGTCGTTGGGGATCTTTCTGCGATTGGGACTGGGGACTAGAACAAGGTCATGTTATTTGCCGTGAATTGGGTTATCGAAGAGCTCTCTTCACAACCCTTGGAGGCGTGTTTGAAAGACAGTCGGGTCCAATCTGGATAGAGGAGGCACAGTGTCACGGAAATGAATCATCCATCTTTAAATGCGATTTAACGTACATCCGGGATATGGACGAAGTGTATGGCTGTGATCATAGTCACGATGGAGGTGTCATCTGTGAGTCCGAAAAAGAATCAGGATCTAACGGTATGTTGGCTCAAATACAGGAAACGAAATAAACATGGGCCTCTTGGTTATGAGATGATTCGCCCCAATGCAAGTTCGCCCCCACCTTATACGAGCTCGCCCCAGCACAACGAGTCAACTTTAAGTCAAAAAGAAGGACACTTTACTGGAAATATTTGACGTGGCGTGGTGAAGGAGTGAGCTCAACATTTTCTATTTCACAGGCGCTTTTATATGAATCACACAGCGTCTAAAATAGAGAGAATATCGGAGTATTTTATCCCCCCCTCCCCCCCCCCTCTCTCTTTCTTAGCTTCCTTCCCTTTTATTCAACAGAAACAGCTGCAGTCAGATTACAAGGTGGTAATTATACTTACATGGGAGGGGTGGAAATCCAGCAGCATGAAATCTGGCACTCTGTTTGCAGTATTGCCTGGGATAAACATGACGCTGATGTTGTTTGTCGTCAGTTGGGATTCCCAGAGGCTGTGGTGGAACTTGCCCATGGTCAGTTTGGTTCCAAACCTGGACCTATGTGGTTGACGAGTGTGCATTGCCATGGAAACGAGACCTCACTGGACCAATGTGTGAGCGCTGGATGGGAGATTAAAAAAGATTGCGGAGAGAGATATGGCGC